GACCGACTTTCTATTAACCTCGGCATTGATCAAGTGATTTTGTTCGTATTTTTTTTGAGCAAACGCGAGGTGTTATTGTTGTTCTAAACAAAATAAACAAAGAACAATAACACCTCGCGTTTGCTCAAAAAATACGAACAAAATCACTTGATCAATGCCGAGGTTAATAGAAAGTCGGTCGTGGCAGTTGTGAGACTTAGTTTATATAGCAATACATCCAGAAAAGGGTACAATTAGACGTAACTTGTTTTCCAACTAGCAGTGTTTACACAAATTTCCTTTACTACTGCAAATATTCTCAAAGATGGATCGCCTCTATTTTTCCGAATAACTGCTGCGACACTGTTTTATGAATAGAAGTTGCTCTTCTTCTACAAATTTAGTATTTTGAAAATTATACTACTTGCTGTTCCATTCCTTCTCCGTCATATATATCGCTGTGCTCTGAACGCCTTCAAGTTTTAGTAAGATTCATTCTCGTATGCTGGTTTCTAATTTCGGAGTTTTAATTGGTGGACGAGTCACTGAATCCCTGGAGATACTCCATGAACTTGCCTCCATTCGCAGTATCGGAAGTTGGACTTACTGTTGAGGCCTACCGATGGACCAGCTCAATGTTTTTGTTTTTTTCCTCAAATCTAGTACCAATTTACCGACTCCGGAGTGGCTGCATGACGAATTAGACATTTCGTGGTTTAGGATCGAAACAAACACTATGTGCGCATTGAGGGGCACTTTAACCACTGCACTGTATCGCTTTTCTTCATTTTTATGTCAACGCCATAAATAAAGCATTTCGTCAAATTAAAGTAAGAACATTAAAAGAGGTGGACAGTCGGTTAAGTGCGACTGTACTGTTCATAGTTTTGATGTGAACTTTTGTCTAACTCTCGTTTTTGTTTTAATCATAGCGTCACCTTGAAAGGACATTGTTCACTAGACTATGATTGTCCATGAAAAGACCAGTACCGTAATCGCTAATGAACCGCTCGCTCTCTACGAGAGCCGTTTCTCCTCGTTCGTATAATTTCGAAAAACTTTATGGAAGTATATTTTTCCATATCCGCGTAATTAAAGGAGTTTCTAGAAACAATTACAAACTTAACCGTTTTATTCACTGCTTTTTTTTCCTTTTTAATGGCAAGGTATGTTGCGAAATATAACTCGTATGTAATACTGAGATACCGGTTCTGGACCCGGATGGTGTGGTGGTGAAGTGCGCTGCTCCCCGGTAAGGACAACAGCGCGTGTTCGTTCCCCACCGCATACACCTGCGGTCCGGAGTTTTACAAATATTTCAGCATTACATACGAACAATTACAATGTTTTTGTTCTTCAGAAGTACACGATATCAGTTAAAGTGTGTCTATGCTTTTTTCTACGTTTCTCCTCCAATAATCCCTTACTTCAGGCGTTTTTCTCGGATGTGTAAACTTCTGTAAAAAATTCTTAACTAAGAAATATGTTTGATTTGCTTTCATACTATCATGTACTTCTTTCATGTGCTTTCATACTAGTCGTTTAAGAAACTACCATGCTATAACGGCTTACCTTCGTAAATACTGCGGACCCTAACATTTTTTTCCCTGTGATTGTCGTCTATGGTCTGCTTCAAGTATGGCAGCCTGAAATAGTCTCATTCCATGTTCCATAAATCGTTCCCTACCGCCACGAATAAAATGAACGGTTTAAGAGAACTACAAATACGTTCTTCCACTTGTCGGTTGTCGTCCAACACGACACTTCAATAACTTTAAGTCCATCTAAGAGTTCTTATCGTCACTCTGCCGTCTACTCATTACACCACCGTCACATCAGTGTTCTAATTCGGACTTTTACTGCTTTAGATCTTAAAGATGGGATATCCTTCAAATGTCTTAACTCCGCTGAACTGCACAATCAGGATGGATGTTTTAGATGACTCTTCATCGTGCGGACCTCCATCAATTCTTGCATACGATTCATTTTCTCACATTTACCATCTACAAAGGTTTTTCAACATTTCCCACATTGTTTCTGCTGTTGGTTGACGATCCCGCCTTATTTCTATAATTTTGTTAATGATGTAGAATGCTGGCCAAGTCCACTGTCCTTGCAATCGTAAGGAAATCTGAGCTAAGACGTTCCCACGTGGACTGGAGGCGAGCTTCGGGAAAGGGGTCAAACTTGCACCCTGCTTCTTTATCGCTTTCGCGCCATGGATTTTGGAGTTATTAGGTTTTATCCCGACATATACATAGTGCACTCCTCTTTCCCACTCTTTTGACTCTAAGCATTATCCTTCGTTGACCATACTTCTCAAATTGATGGCTTCGCTTACGAACATTGGAACGGGTTCTGAAATATTTCTTCTAGTTTCATCACCGTTCTTATTTCTAGGATTCAGTAATCATTGACATTCTTAACGGTGAAACACTGTCTGAATTTTGACTAGTTTACGAAACTATTATTTCCATATTATCAAGGATATAAGGATTTTCAAGAGAGCACACGTGGTGCAGGCGAGGTTTCTGCAGCACAGAATGGATTAGTCGCTAGCTCGATTCCACGCTTCAGGTTCACTAAGCCTTACATCCCTCCAAGGTTAGCAAATTTGCATCAGATTCGTCCAGGAAGTAAAAACACTAAGGTAATATACCGGCAGACGCCCAAAAGCCACTGTACAAGCTCATTACGCACTCAACTACCTCTACAATACTACGAGTGTATTTAAATGCATTGCTTATCCGTCAGTGATCGATCAAAGTCGAACGCTTTCTTCTCTATCCCTTGTCTTCTTGATTGTGCTGAAGTTTCCAATACTCCGCAAAATATTCGACAACACAGTACCTTTTGTTATAGAAGTTATTGAGCAACAAAGTCTATAATTCCAGTTCGTCACCTTCTTCTACTCAAAATGGTTGTAATGACAAACGATGATAGCGTAGAGAGGATGGTGAAAGGTAAGCGGTTCTGTTTCTGTTCTTGACTAAAACTGTTCAGGAATCCAATGTGACATTTCTCCCATTTGCAAGCCAGAACTGATCTGAATTAGTAAATCGTAAGGCGTAAAATTGGTTGCAGTAATAAAGTTCACTTTATTTGCTTTACTTTAAAAACTGCTTCATATCCAATTTTGGAGGCAGTGCTACTTCAGCATTCGCCCCAATTCTTTTTTATGATTTATTTCAAGTGTCAAATGTACTAAAGCCGAAAACGTTTTGTGAGAGATTCGTCCCGATAACTATAATATCGTTCCAAAAGAAAAATGAACCTAATAGATATTTACTCTTTTAATTTTGGTTAACTCCTCCGTTTTGTTCTTGAGCAGACAAGACTTGTTACCACAATGTTTTTGCTTCACATTAGATAACGGTTTGGCGATTTCGGCTCCTTGAGACCCTGGAATTGTCGAGTCGATAAGTATAGTTAGCCAAATATTTTCTTAACCTCAGAAGACAAAACTCAAGGTCTAAATTTCAGTCTCATCAAAAATAATCTATTCTTAGCACTTTTTTAAAAAAGAAATAAAAAGATTTCTGACATTTCGAATCCTTCTTTGATAGTTTTATTAAGGATCTTGCACTTCTGATAAGGCGTAACAGAGCGGCGGTTCTGTACAGCCATCTGTTCCACTTGCTAAGAAACAACACCTCCCAACCAAATGATTTCTGGCTTTTCAGTGCGGTTTGTCGTCAGTATGGGAGCACTGCTTCCTGGTTTTGGATGTTACTTCTGTATTGCTTACACATATATCTTCCAGTACGAAATCATTGCAAACTTTACGGAGGATGACCAATGCCCAGGTGTTCATTCGTGAGTCAAATATATGGAGTTCACAAAAAAAACTATCCGTGATGGTGATCACATTAGAAAAACCACTAAATAGAAGTCGCAAAACCAAATTTTATCGATGAGAGGTTTAAATAGACTATTAACGACGAGAGCTAAAACTGTTGAGTTGATTGTGTTATGGAAAATCTATGTTTAACTGCCCAGTTGTTATTTGAATTATAAGAACAACCTAAGCAAAATCTTATTTTTCATGCGTCAAAAATCGTAGGATGCACAAAAGCATTGAGAAGTGCAACATATTAGTAACGATTCTTCTTTCTTGATTTGTTAACGCTTGAGCGGATCGAGCCGGAGACCTCTCCAATGTCAAGCGCACCTCTTACCACTGTGCTATGTGAGCCAGCGAGCTCATCGAAGAAGAAATAGAAAGTTTCAACTCAACTACGACAACTGAAAACATCAACGGCATGTTTTAGGACACTAATGTGTCCTTCTAGACCAAATCCTGCTTTTCAGTCGGATCTCTTTCGAAATATGAGTTTCGACGACAAAAGGCAAAAAATAATGATTCATGGGATCTAAAGCCCACCATGTAATCGTCATTATGAAAGCAAAACCTTAACTTCTAGTGAGAGATGTATTAGTTCGGGTGTTCCTTATCTATGGTAATAAAATTCCTGCGACTTGAAACAAATTAATTTGATTTTAAGAACAGCAATTATTTCCTATCTTATCATTGGTGCATTAAGATGGATAGAAACTCACCTACGCGCCTTCATACGAAATGTTATAAATCTGAATTTGGTTTTGGGCTTTTAGAACTTTAGTTCGAGGTAAATTCAAAATCGAAGGAATATTTTAGAGTAACCATACACCCCTTTAAAATAGCAGCGCAAAATAATATAAGTTTACAGTTTTCCAACTTCTCCACTAATCCAATAATGGTAAAAGTATCGTTTGTTAGTGGAAAACCTGCTTTACTCGGAGAGATTAATGCAGCTGAAGAAATTATTCTTTAGAGAACTTCCTCCAGTTTCATATGCTATCGGTATGTGGGAACCGCAACGATATTTCTGGCTTTTCATCATGTTCCTACACTGTCCGCCAAGAATTTTTTTTCTCATTGTACGTTTTTATCTTGATTACTCGAATACTTGAATGGCCTGTCCTCACTATTGTGCGAGTCCCAGCATAGTCACCATTTTTCGGAGATTTGCTGGTTAAGCCATTGTGGTTTCCTGGAATTTCGAGGATAGCCTGGGCAAAGTCTGCCCCAGGTCGTCACCACGACAGGCAGTCGCCGCCCTGGTGGATCAGAGGGAGATTTGCCACCATGCGACTTTGATACTAGGACGGTGGTGGATCCTGGTATTGGTTTACTTTTAGCTAGGCTTCCTAATGGAAACGCCGGACACCTCAGCTTGGGAGACCCTGCCAGAGGATGAATCACCCGCTGTACATCGCAGTCCGACACCCAGGAACACCTCCCAGCCACGACGAGGAAGTAAACCGTTAGGACGTTTTTATCAATACATTGTAATCCAGCATGAGTCTCATTATTAATTGTGTACCGACGACTCGAATCAAATCCGCCCTGAAGAATACGAAGGTGTCGAAATATAGAAATATTAGCTGAATAAATGTTACTGATTCTTCACATATCCTACTATAGAGCACAATTACGCCATACAGAACAATGACATAATAGCATTCACCACGCGTTACAACAGCTATTAACGAGTTTTGGTCGGCACCTACTTCGAAGCTTGATGCTCTCATCCTTCGAATAGTGCCGAAGATCACCTCCGCATCTGTTAATACTTTATCTGGATGTCGCGTCTCGAAGTAAGGTGACGAAATGATTCACCAAATGCAACGACGAGCTGACTGGCCTTGGAAATCCACCTCTCTTTTCTCCAAGTTGGATTTGGAAGTATTCGCGAGCGGAACATAACCACCGCTTTCCGCTTGTGTATGAGCCACTTAAAAGATGATCGAATTCCCATGAAAAGGTCTTGGTTACACAATGATGCCGTTCAGTACTTCCGGCACCTTGTTCTTGCCTACCTGGCGCTATCAACCCTTCTCCATCCAGGGTCGCAAAATTCTTACCAGATTTGCCTGTGATCACCTCGCTTTCTGCAATCCATGGAAAGCTGTAGATTTTTGCGATGAAGATCTGAAACTGACTAGTACGGCTACCACAGCGTCTCGGGTGAACGGCTCACCCAGCATTCACGAGAAGCAGCCGAACACATACGCAAATACGAGGACTTTTGAGGATGGTGGATGCGAAGAAACGAATCAGATGCGAAAAGTGCAGAGATCTCCGAAATACGTGATGTTAGGTCGTGTAAGGTGATGCATAAAACATATATATATATATATATATTATATATATAATATATATATATATATGTACACGTATAAGCATGTCCATAGTGATTGATCCTTTTCGTGAATTTTTGTGCACACTTCTTTTCAGCTCTACCGACGAGCATTTCGAAAGGCTGCGCCGAAATCGGCTGCCTATCATCAGGTCATCTATTTCTACACGAAAACCATGTGGATCGAGTTCCTCGGTCTCATTGCCGTCTCCGTAATTGACATAAAGTTCAGTTTTGGTAAGCAATACGTTACGTTATAAAGTTATAAGGTGAAACGGAAGAACAACAAGGCAAAACCTTTAAAAACGATAACGAAGATTCATTGTCACATTGAGTACTTAGCGCAGTATTCAATTCACTCTTCTTCTAGAATTTACCTGCTAGTTCAGCAAATGAGTATATCAACAAAATGTTATTCCTGGAAACTATTACAAAATGTTATTTATTTATTTAAATGTTCTTGCGAACTGATCTTGTTGAGCTGATGCGAGGCTGGTGTAGGTTCTCGGTGTCGTTGTCGTTGTTGTTGTTGTTGGTTGATGGCTAACGTTCCGGCCATTTCGCCTTCTTCAGAGCCTGGACGTATTTTATGTAACAATCGCCCTATATTCGGTGAGAAAAAACTATGGTATTAATGAAGATTATATTTTCAAATAAACGCCATATTGATAAAAAGAGCTACTCACCGTTGTGCTGGCCGGCTCGTTGTTCACGTAGGACGACGAGCAAGACCCACCCAGGTTAAGAAATAGTTTTGAAATAAGGCATCAGGTCACATGTGATAGTGAGGCATTCGTTTTTCTGAAAAATGTTATCCATCGACACTTTCTAATAACCTGAATCACCTGTCGTCCCGTTGATCGTCGAGTGACTCGAGTGGGCGCCAGTAAATCTTCCATTCTTCCCTGCCTCGTGCAAGAGTAGCCCAATGGGTCGTGTTAGCTCTATGAACTCCTTCATCATCGTATCTTCGTATTTTTTTCTACGGCTTTCTGTGAATAACTCTGACCATCGGATCGCTGGTGTTCCCGCAGAACGCTGATATCCCAACGAATCCAGGCAATAAAACGGCTCTTGTCCATCGGTTGTCGCTTATACACGTTATGTATTCTGCATACTTTATCTACAACACTTTGATGTAGAGAACGATGTGTTTGATTTTTGATCGTTGACGTGTATCCCATTTCCGGATCACCTCTCTCGCCTACGTCATACGTGGTGCTTTTAGCGTTTTATTCGACTGCGCATTCAACAACGTTGGGTGATCTTTTATCCTGCTTATGCAGCGATCGGCATTCTGAGGCATACGTTGCAGCGGAAAGAATTGCGGAGTCGAAAAGGTGAGCAAGGAGTTGGGTGTTATCTGTTCTCTTCACATCCTCGGTGCTCTTGAAAACCCAGTAAGTCACTCGCCTCCCCCGGCTCATCTTTGCAGCTTGAGCCACCATGTATTTTGCCGATCTGAACAGATATAGGTGGAGTATTTGGAGATATGCGTACCGTTAAGCGTTGATCGGGCATACGTAACCAATCCGTTCCTCAAGAATACCGTTTTTGTAAGATTTAATCGAAGAGCAATCTTTCCAAAGGCCTCATCAAAATCGTTAGGCTTTCATTCCGTTTGGCTACTGTTTGATGTTATAAGAACGATGTCATCAGTAAAGCGAAGATGGTGTAATTGCTGACCATCGATTTTCAGTCCTACGTTATACCACTCCGGTGTTCGCATGACGTTCTAGAGGTTGGCGGTAAATAATATCGGTATCGTCTTGCTGAACCTCTCTTTTGATGTCGATATTAATATCGTTGCAGAATTGTGTTATTTTGTTTATATGTTCTTATGAGCTCATCCTGTTGAGCTGATGCGAGGTTGGTATAAGTTGTTTAATGTTTAGTGTGTTTACGAGGATTGGTGGAAGGCTTTACAGGCGTGCAAATTCTATACTGTCCTGACGCGTGACCCGGTGTTGTTAGATTCCTCACTGACGAAATAACACGTCGGATTTCAGAAGGAAAAAGCGGTGGAACGACACATCAATCCTTCCTTATTTCCTATGAGCGCAGGGTGACGTAGTCACTGAATGGATTAGAGTAGCAGTCGTGAATGATTTTCCCCATTGCCTTTTTTGAAGCTGTAACTATTACGTCTGGGCGTCAGAGTGCAATTATCATAGCTTTGTAATTGGCGAAGAAAATTTGTCTTACTGCCGATCTGCATTGCATTGCAATTCTGAACATGAGTTGGCGGTTGCTTGTCGCTCACCTTGCTCGTCCCATTCTAATCCATGCCTACCATCGTGAAGTTTTTCAGTCATTCGTTTGGGTACGGTATTATCGTTGAAATCTCCATTAATGACCTTAAAGAATGTATAGTCTTTTCTGTAGAATTCAAAGTCCATATTGAACACTTCGACTTCGCCTTCGTCATAGCTTGATGTTGGCTCGTAAACGGCGAATATTGTCAACGCCGGTGTTGGTCTACTTCTCTTCAACCATAAACGTCCGCCTTAGGTTCTTGGTTGTTCGAATAAATCGGTATTCATGGCCAAACTCGTATTGGTGAGAGGGTCGAAGCTGTTGACTCCTCTATTTTCGCATTTTCCGAGGAACACTTCTTCCCCGGTGTCACAGCCAGTGTTGAGTGACGGCGTTGAATGGGTGGAGTCCTCTCGTCTCAACCAGTCCTATGTTGCCTTACCTTATCCTTCTTGCCTTCATTATCAAGTGTATCGAGAATTCAGATGCAAATGGGCACCTTATTTTTTACGATATGTGCAGCCTAGAATAGCCCTGAGATTTTGGTGGACTCTCCTACTCGTCCTACCCAACGGTGACGTTTGAGGGCTCCTTCGAAGTCAGGGAAAAAAGACTCGTTTATTTTCTTGTGATTAGAGTTTGTATAGCTTGCTGAGCTATCGATGTGGGCACTGGATATACTCACGAGTAGCTTGCCAGTCTCTCAGAGTATGCAGGGTGCTTATTTGTTGCAAGCGATTACCAACCGTCTTCTATATACTTCCACGTCACTTAAATGCAGGCACTTTGCATGCCGCACGAATGCTTAAATACGTCTTCATAAATGCAGATGGTACGTGCCAAGCTGGTGCTTCAGAACCGGGTTGTCTATCCCTTGATCCTTCTACGTCTCAAGAAGCAAAGGTCTCTTTTGCTCTGCCATTAACTTCCCATCCACCACCTGACGCGCCACGTTTGAACGACATGTGATTTCTCTGTGAGGAAAATCGCTGACCCTATATAATAATTCTCACAAATTAAATAGATAATAGAGAAGCAGATTATACCATGTACATTACTTAACCGAATATAAAATGCAGATGATCGAATAAGCTAGCCATTTTTGCTTCCTTATCGCAAGGCAACGGCTGGTAAGCCTCCTTGAATGCTTGGATGACCCAACTTTACGAATCCCATGGAATGTTCCATACGTCAGCAAAATTTCCGCATAATTTATAATTTGTTTGTTTCAAAAGGCGTTCTTCTCGCAGACTTCAAAAGACGCTAGCAAGTCGTCCCTGGATGCCACCAAGTTAATATATTGTTGCTAAAATGGCTGTGATTTTTCCAGACATTTCTGCTATCCACGTGGAAATATTTAATCCATTTCCTAAACCGGAAAATATTTCTGCTTATGAATCTTTATCTGTACATCGTAATTCGACACACGGAAACATTCTTCCAATCACAACGAGACCGGAAGCCGAAGAAACTGGTAGACAAAGGGAACAAACTGCCACGACCGACTTTCTATTAACCTCGGCATTGATCAAGTGATTTTCTTCGTATTTTTGTTGAGCAAACGCGAGGTGTTACTACTCTTTATTCATGGATGAGCTGACGTTTCGGCGGATTTCGCCTTCCTCAGAGCCAGGAAAGGACAAGTTGATAGAACTCACTCGGCCAGACGCCTCCATAACCAAACGAAGAAGCTCCAAACCAAGATTTCAATCACTTTGAACACAGCTTTGCACACTCACCGCTTTCTATGAGGTTTTTCTAAAGGGAACAAAGTTCGGAGAGAAATTAGAAAACAAAGTCGTATCACTTGAATCAACCAGCAGCTGTGAATTGCACTGTTGTCAGGAAAATATTCCTCTATTCTCTCATTTTTCTGGCATTTTGTCCTCGATAGAAGGAATTTAACAAGGACGCTCTTTTGCGCTGTCGTAAACTTTATGTGCAATTATTAACAGAACGGTCATCTTGCGAAACTGACATTGTACATTACTGGACATCAATAGATGTCCAACATCAAATATATTTTTTTTGGGCACCAAATTAACTTGATATTTATCACAAAAAACTCTGGAGAGCTTTACGCCGCGTACTATAAAAATTTGTTTTTTTTTCTTTTACACGACCGGATATCACATGTAACAAACCGTATATCCTAGCACCTCTTGCATTCAACTCGTTTGCTCGCACCCACCATCCACGGTGGTCCTCGAATTTCTTTTGCTTCTGCGTTCCACTGTTACTTGAGGATCCTTACATATTCGTCACGATTGCCGTTGATCGCTGCTCGAGCACATTCTCCGGGGAGTCCTGGGATAGCCACGGTACTACTACCGCTTTATTGTTCCAGGAGTGATGAGAAGTTTCATGATTTTGGTGCGGAGTCGAGCTAGACCCTTGATGGGATACGCCGTGTGCGCAAAGAACCAGGTCACTACCAGTGCTCTATTTGCTCACCGTTCTTCCTAGATGATACGGAAAGAACAGAAAGAAAATGAGTCGTATAAAATCTGTATTGGCCAATGTGCCAGCTCACACCCGAGACAATATATGGCTCACATTGTGTAAAGTGTGTTGAAAAGCCCACGTGAGGAAAGAAACTTCACATATTTCAGTTGTACACGCCATTGCATACTCTACATGGATCATCTCGTTCAACTTTAATATGCTCTTCAACACAATTCTTCATCACTTCGGAGGTATTCGTGAGAAGTCTGAGAAGGTTCATTCATATGATCTGTTGCTTCTCTTGTTTCGTAGTATTAGTTCCTAAGTTATAAAAATGAACAGGCCATTTGTATTTGAAGATAAAACTCTACAAAAACCAACTGATTCAGTGCTAGCGAAAGCGAGCTGCATTAGTGTATTGATTATCAGGAGTAAAAAGTATCCGTGATTTGAAAACCTCAAGAGAAGTATCATTCTTTACTTTCAGTGTTCAACGTGTGTGTACTTTTTGAATTCAGAAAAACATATTTTGAAGAAAGAGACATTTGATTTTTTCAACTTTATCTGAATAATCCGTTTAACTCTGCAGTCCGAAGTGATTTGGAGAATCAAGTTGACCATGTTTATCTCCGGCCTCTTCCTCTCGCTCTCTACGGCCGTCTCCTATCCGTTGTTTCTCGTTTACTGCCTTAAAGAAGGTTAGTGAAAATCTAGTATATTTTCTTCTTACCTTACCACAAGGGGCAATTTGAAGCATATAGTAAGATCGCTCCAAAAGATGTTTTTTTTTGCAAACTATAAAGTGTATTGCTTTTTGAAGGTGCGCGTGTAGGCCAGTGGTTAGGAGCTCCCTGCAAAACACATGAGATTGATCCGTGTCTCCAGACTCACCAAGCCTTTCATCCCTCCTGGGTCGGCAAATTGGTAACAGACTTGTCTGGGAGGATAGAAAGCTATACAAGCTTAAAGCTCCACCTTCAGTGGATGGATCTTTAAGCTTATATTGTTTTCGCCTAGCTTTGTTATCGCTCCCTGTGGCACGCATTGCGTTGATGCAGTCATAGCAGTCGCAGAGATCCTAGAATTAGTTCGTATAGCCCTGCAGAGCACATGGGATTGATCCGTATCTCCAAACTCACCAAGCCTTTCGACCTTCCTGGGTCGCCAAATTGGTAACAGAGTTGTCTGGGAGGATAGCATGAATGGCTTGATACATCGGTAGGCCACTACGAGTCGCTATATCTTCAGGACTTGGGTTCAGTCACATTTAACGATGCTCAAAGTAGTAGAATTCATTGCCCATCCTTCAGGGACTGATCAACACCAAGAGCTTTATCCTTCAGTCTTTTATTGCCTTTTGAATGACAATATCCATCACGAAATTAAATTCGAATAAACTATGCGCCAATTATAAAGATGTAGAGGGAAAAAGTTTCATGCGGAGAAAGACTGTCAGAAAGAACGAGATCTCCATAAAGAACGCACTGACAGCAATATGTTTTCTGATTAGGGCTCCTCAGATCATTCTCGTGCACGCGTGATTGCTCATGGTACGGTTAGGTAGAAACGTAGATGAGAGAAAGGCAAAGCAAGGGCTTCCGTGGTGCCGTTCGTAAGACGTGAACCCCAAAGAAAGGGTGGTCGCGGTTCGACCAGGCCTGCCCTCCAAGTTTTGCAAATATCTCTGCATCATAGTGTTTGTATATCACAACATACACTGCTCTAGAAAATAATAATAGTAGATGAAAAGTTAACGGCATTTCTTTTATTAGAACGTAGGTTTAAAGGTATGCTAAAGCTAAACATTTTACTCCGAACAGCATCTGGGAACACACAATAAATGCAACAAAAGAATTCTAAAAGCAGTTTCAGATGTCGAATTTAACATTTTGATTTTTTACTTTTTGCCTATTATCATTTTTTAAGGTAGAATTTGATGAGAGACGCAGCAATTATGATGTTGAGACATTTGCGAAATCAGGATCCCAGGTCAGATTATAACCCACGATTATCCTTTCCGGAACTCACGTGTTATCCTCTGCACCGTTGACGAGCTTGCTTCGACTTTTCTCAGCCGTGTTTTTACCTATAAGTGCTATCAGCAATCACCTGTCAGCGGAGCTGATCTGGGTATTACAAATGGGCATTAAACCCAATTAAGTTCAAGCTGCAGTCGAAATCACAATGTCTTAACTTTTATTTACTGTTTATTCTTTTTTTTTCGTGGAAATGTGCGATGTAATATTCAATGTAGATACCGTCTATTATCTACAACTCCCTCATTTTCAGCATACATCGCTTTTTCGATTGCCGAGTATATGTTAGTCGGATACAATTCATTCTTCTATTGTCTTTCGTACTGGGAGTTTCCACGATATCGGCTCACACTCGGTGTTTACGAGCCTCCCAAGAAGATTCACTGCTCTAGCAACACAATACCCAATATCAGTGGCACAATTAAGGCATACTCCTTAAACTGAAATTTGAAGAAGTTGCAATTGTGGCAGACGTCTGGTAGAAAGTATTGTTATGCCAGTTTAAATAACATAGTGCAGCTCCACTTTCTCGTGTCGTTATTAACATAGCAGATTGATCATCGGTGCAGAATATATACATAATGTTGTCCTATTTGCAAATACTTGTACTTTCTAGCCTATATTTATGATGACCTTTTCTTTTCACTTTGTTCTGCTCTACCGAAGCACAATAGTTACAATAAGCTCGAAGTGGGAGATACGACCTATACGGGGTGTGATTGCCAGATTCAATAGCGTCCTCAACGCAAAACATTCTCACTGTCCCACGTCAACTGTAAATCACTGGCCACTACATCCACCGGCTCTACTTGTACAAGTCACTGCACTGCATAGTTTAAGTCCAGGTTCAGTGTCTTAATGATTTTTTACGTAAAATACAAATATAGCGAAACATTTCTATAGTAACAAACAGCAACTAGAATTCTGGTCTTTCATAACACCTCATTCTTCCTTGTTCTCTTTCAATGTATCACTCGAATTGCCTTTCGAACGAATTGCGGGTTTTTTTTTAATCTCCACTGTGGCTGTAGAATAAATATTTGACCAAAGATGTGATGAATACAAACAAAAGGCAACCTCAGTATAATTCTGCTGATATTTCATGGGCTAAAAGCCTTTAATCTTTTTCTTCAAACATTCAGAATCGCCTAAAACAATTCAGGGCGTTACAGAGCGAATATTGGTGCAGTCGACCAAGAAGCAAGGTGCCGGTCGGACTCACTTTCCAGCGCTCTCCCCCAATGCACGTGGAAACGCTTTAGCTGGGCTATCTCCAGGATTGCAAGGAGAATCTATTCGAACAGCGTTCTATGACGTTCATGGGAAAGACGAAATCTTCAAGCAGCAGCAGAAACAACGTGCGCCATAATGGGAGACCCTTGTGGACAATGAATGCGGTGAAAACGAGTACGGTATCTGAGATAACGAGTTGTGCAAAATAGCAAAAACGAAGGCATTCCACTTAGAGTTTTTTCATCGAAGTTTTCATGTTTGTATTGTGGTTTCAATACGCGTGACATGCTGTATAAGCATGGCGGAAAAGTCCGATAACTGATGGAAATTTGTCGCAAATCGTTGGTCGCGCTGACACCGGCGGGGTCTTTCAAATTCGGCTTTCCAAAAAACTGAACACGACGAAATCGATGTATTAAGGGTGATTGCGCCTACGCAAAAAGTTGCTGAATTGTTAAAAAAAAAACCAAAGAGCTACCTGTGTTTGAAATTCTTTGAAAATAAGCTAACAACATGTATAAATGCGTAGTAAGTTGCACATCACTCGTCAATTTTGAAGAGCAACACGTACAATAAACGCTGCGAAACAATTCGACCACATCTGGAGGCTCACGTTCTATCCATCATACCAACTGGCCATGCCTTGCTTCACGTTTCTCTCAGCCAGCTTTTTTCTCTGACAACGCTATCAGCACTCACCCATCATCGGGAATGGTCTGGGGAGCGCAAATCGACATTGTACCCAGTTAAGCTGAAGGTGAAATCGAAATCGCAGTGTCTTAAGTTTTATTTACTACACATTATTTTTTATGGTAGATTATGTTGTAAAGTACAACCACAAGAATACTGAGACAGGACTAAACATGGAGTCTCATATCGGCTTCGAAGCCGCCATTGCCTTTACTAAGGGCTCACTTACTTTCCTCCGCACTTACCAGCATGCTTTCTTCATTGCCTTTCTCTCAGCTCTTTACCGCTAACGGTAGAATGCAGTTATTGCGAATAGGGTAAAAGCTGCGTGACAGAAAGGCAAATGCAGGGTTCATTCGGTGTGGTGGATAGCACGTGAGCTCCTATTGATAATCATGATGATAATCGCAAGTACAAAAGCACAACTGAGGTTCATAGCTCTGCTCATGGCATAGCTGCGGTCATAGTGTTACTAATCCGACTTTCACTTAACCTCGGCGTGTATGCAGTGAAACAAGACGATTAAGAAGGATATATTGGTTGCTCATGCCAAGGTTAGGTGAAAGTAGGAATAGTAACGGTATTACTTCACTATTTGCTAGCTATTCTAATGCCAACTTTTACAGAATGGATTGTCGACATGAAAAGAAATTATTATCAGTCGACAATCAGTCAACAACTGTCCTGTATAAAAAAGCGCCACCGGGTGAGGATGCTTCATTCGAATGGTGAGCCAATGAAGAAGATTCTACTCGATACGATGACGAAGACACCTCATTGAGAGGACGAGCGGCTGTGGACACCGACTTGGATCATCTGCTCTGTGAAAGACGAAGGCATCGAAAACGTTACTCGATTAAACCTTGTATAACAACCGTGTGTAAGGTGAACAATTTAAAGCGAAACGTTGTGAACATAGAGATCACGTCATACCGTGTCATAAAAACAGTGAGAGGCAGCGAACGAAAATCGACAAATAGTGCATAGGTCCCTTTCTCGCGGCTGTTCTTAAACGGGATTTCTTCGAGGAACGGAGCTGAGATGGCGCGTTTCCGTGAAGGTCATTAATAGCGCAAAGATTGAAGCTTCATTCTATACCGGGAATGTGAGTTTTTAACAAGAAGCATATCCGCCAGTATCAACAACTGTGATTTTTCGCCTGTTCATCCAAATTCAAACGGTTCACCAGTTTTTCTTTCACTTTCCCATATCATTTGTTGCCTACTTTTCAAATTATTCAAGCGTCGAGTCACAAACTTCATTAAAAAAAATTTGATTCAAAGGAGAAATATTATTCCTACAATATCCAAACCTGATTAATGCTAACTGCGTTGTTACCATTGTCTCAACCATCTTTTCAGTTCTTAACTTAACGATTTCGGCTTACATTAAGGGATAGAAGGAAAGTCGAATGGGACAGAAGAGGGAGAGCAATATGGTCCCTGTTTGAGCTTCTCCAGGAAGCCACAATCACCCGCCAACGGGATTGATCTGGGGCGCCCAAATCGGCATAGAACCCAGTTAAGCTGCGGCTGTAGTTGTAATCACAATGTTATACCTGAGAGACAGGCGAAACGAAGGACCCGCTTGGTGTGGTGGTGAATGCGTTACTCCCCGGAAAGGACAATAGCGCGTTCGTTCCCCACCATAGACACCTGCGGTCCAGAGTTTTACAAATATCTCAGCAACGTTGTGGTTGTATTTCGCTTAGTACCTTGCCGCGAAATTATAATAGGCAGAAAATAAAAAGGTATAACATTGTTATTATATTATTGCTGAGATATTTGCAAAACTCCGGACCGCAGGTTAAATTAACGACGACGATTTGAAAGCAAAAATTAAAGCCGTATTTTTGGACAAAAGTTGAGAAAGCGGCTCAACGTTGGCTTTTTTCACAACAAATCCGAAGTATCGTTGATGTCGGTACCGTCACATGGTCGACTACAAATTAGATTTCTTCGAGCAGCTAGCGAAGTTTTATGCGTCTGTTGTTATGAACAATGTCTGACAACTCTCTATGGATACTCTCATCACAAAGCTTATCGCTAGACTTCTTGAGGGAGAGGGCCGCAGTAAGACTTTTTTTTCAAGTGCGATTCTTTTCGCCCTTGAGGATGAGCGTCACAAGCTAACGAAAGTGAGCCACAAAACGGTCACAACTTAGGTTTTAAATACTTCTTTTTTTGTGTTTTAGAAAGACGCAGTTATCGACAATATCGAAAGGATTACCATGAATTTTTGTCATGGATTGGTTTTCTTAAATCTTCCCAACAGTGCCAGAAAAACGCAAGATTTTCTAAGGAAATGCTGGAACCAGCTGTCTAACCACGTAATTTCCTTCAAAAAAAAGAGGCATAAGAATTTATTTTAAAAAGGAAACATTACGAAACAAAACATGAACAAGCATCCATAGCTCTCAACAGAACTCCCTAACAGGTTATCATTGTGTTCGCTCTACGACGAACATCCAAAAATATCATCGCATCCAGAACAACTTTTGCCCACATATTTTCTACGTTCTCCCTCATATGAGGGATCTCGAGCCAGCTGGTCGTGAGGCTACATAACGCGTCTCCAACTGGCGGTTAGGGGGTTAATCGCGGACCATAAGCGACCCTTGCTTCCCTGAGACGCAGGTGGATCCAGGCGATGGACTGCCTGTTTCTGCCGCACTGATTTGGCACATACTTTCAGTATTTGAGGGGCGTATTCATGCAAGCCTGTGTGGGTGCGTTCTTGGTTATGCAGATTGTATTCTACGAGTCAATTCGGCCAAAAGCCTCCAATCAAGTGACTGGGAGGCATATGAAAGGCGGTTAGGATTCACCTGCAACAAATAAGCTCCACGTCCACTCCGGAAGACCCTGGTAAACTACCCGTGAGTATACCTAGCACTCACATTCAGACCTCAGCAAGCTATACGTGGGTCTCAAAAAGCTAAAAACACTAAAAGAAACAGGCCTCATTCCTCTAACCTCGAAGGAGCCCCCAATTCGGCAGCGTTTCGTAGGACGAGTGCGGAGAGGCTGCTAAAATCTCAAGACCAATGGAAGCTGCTAGGAGAACCATGGTGACGGTCTGTACCTACAATGGACGCCCATCTGCATTCGAGTCCTCGATAGGAGACTGCTCATGCAAGGAAGAAGGATAAAGTACGACGTCATCGGCCTGGCCGAGACGAGACGACGCCACCCATTCAACGCCGTCTATGACACCGGAGAAAAACTGTTCCTCGTAACATGCGACAGTAGAGGAGTCGGCGGCGTCGGCTTTCTCGTCAACACGAGTTTGACCATGAACATCGATTCATTCGAACAACTAACAATCCGAATCGGACGTTTACGAATAAAAAGATGTGGATCAATACCGGCTTTGAAAATCTTCGTCGTTTACGCGCCGACATCAAACTATGACGAAGAAGAAGTCGAAGCGTTCTATATGAACTTGGAGAAATTCAACAGAGAACACCATACATTCTTCAAGGTCACCATTAGAGATCTCAACGCCAAGACTGGACCGAGAATAACGTCTGAAAAACGTTACATTGCGACCCACAGATTGGAATGGAACGAAGAGGGTGAGCGGCTTTCTGAGTTTATCATGGCGACCAAGACAGTCCATGGTAACTCGCAATTCCAGAGGCCCCACCCTCAACGCTGGACGTGGGAGTCTTGTATTGGAGAATACCATAACGAAATACACCATATCGTAGTAAATAGGTTTGCCCAACCAATGCCACTGTTGTACCAAAATTCTACACGGAATCAGAACACTGCTTCCTTCCACCAAGATTCCATTCTCGCAGAAACGTTAAATTCAAAAAACGAATTCGCAAAAACCACTATAAATTGGAACCTATTCAACCCATTGGTCGGCTTTTGGGAAGATGCCGTTGTCGATAACATCGACGAAGAATACAATCGGCACATTCAACATCACGTTAGTGCTATGTAAGCTGAGAGTTCGAAAGTCACCAAGAGACGTCTGTCTCCGGAAACACTCGAGTTGATACACCAGCTTTGAATCGCACGAGCTGCAGGCATCCGCGAACTAACGCCCGAACTTGCAAAACAATGCAGACAGGCGATAGAAGATGTTAAAGAGAGAAGAGTAACAGTAATGGTCGAGGCTGTAGACGCCGGAAAAAGCATTCGCAAAGCCCACCAAAGCTTCGCCAATTATAAGACAAAGATGAGTGCACTCCGACGCCCAGACGGAACAGCTATGGCACCCAAAAAGGTGATGGAGAAAATCATTCACGAATACTACTCGGGTCTCTTTGATATCCACGTCCACCTTCTGTCATATGAAATAAAAGAGGATAGATATGTTGTACCACCGGTCCTCCCTTCCGAAATCCGACATGACATTTTGTCGGTGAAAAATCGAACAGCACCAGTTCCGGACAGAATAAGACCGGAACACCTTAAGAACCTTCCGCCAGTCTTTGTAAACACACTGGTTAGGCTTTTCACACGTTACTTGTCTGAATGCAAGGTCCCTACTCAGTGGAAGAGCAACAAGACCTGGTTATTGTTCAAGAAGCGTGACATACACGATATCGGCAACTATGGCCCAATCTGCTTACTGTCTGTCGTCTACAAATTTTTCACTCGAGTCGTCCTAAACAGGGCTGACAGAACACTGGACGAAGAGGAGCAGCCAAGTGAGCAAGAAGGGTTTCGAAGAGGATTTAGTACGATGGACCACATCCACACGATAACGAGACTCATTGAAGTAACGCGAAAGTACGAAAAACCGCTCTGTCTCACTTTCATCGATTTACTGAAGCTCTTTGATTCAATTGAGATAGAAGTAGTCATGAAAGCCTTTAATAATCAATGAGTCCCTACTCAGTACACGAAGAATCTTCGTAAGCTGTACAAAAATTTCACAACTAAGGTGTCACAATTCTACAACGATATTAACATTGACGTCAAAAGAGGAGTTAGGCAAGGCGATACCATCTCGCCAAAATTATTTCCCGCCACCCTCCAGAACGTCATGCGAACATTTGAAATGGTATAAAATTGGAGTTGGAATCGATGGTCAGCAGTTAGATTATCTTCGCTTTGCTGATGACATCGTCCTTATAAAACCAAACATTAGCCAAGCGGAACATATGCTTGCCGACTTTGATAAAGCCTGTGGAAGGATTGTCCTTCGACTAAATCTCACAAAAGCGAAGTACATGAAGAACGGATTGGTTTCGTATGCCTCATTCACGCTCAACGAAACGATCGTCTCCGAATACTCCAGTTATGTCTATCTAGGAAATCAATATGATGAACGGCCTAGCACCACCGATGAGCAGAAGAAAACGATCGGCTTGGAGAACTTTCAAGAGCATCGAGGATGTACTGAAGAGAACAAAGAACACCCGACTCCGTGCCCGCCTTTTCGACTCAACCCTACTTCCTGCCCTAAGGTATGCGTTAGAAACCTGGTCGCTGCGTAAGCAGAATGAAAGGTCACTCAGCGTTATCGAACGCGCAGTCGAAAGGACGATGCTAGAAGTATCCCGTTCCACACAAGTAAAGGATGGGATCCGAAGCTCCGATCTGCGTCAACGGTCAAAAATCAAAGATGCCGTTCTGTACGCCAAACAGTCAAAGATAAAGTGGACCGGACACCTAATGCATAAATGACAACCGATGGACAAGAGCAGTTAGTGACTGGATTCCTCGGGATGTCAAACGTACCGCAGGAAGACCACCAAACCGATGTTCGGAGTTCTTCACGAAAAGCCTAGAAGAAAGATATGATGCTCGACGAGTGCCTAGAGCGAGCAGAACCCGCTAGGCTACTTTTGCACACGATAGGAAAAAATGGAAGATTTACTGGCGCCTGCTCGAGTAACTCGATGATCAACGGGAGCACAGGTGATTCTGGTGATATTTTCTATATCTACGTCCATCTCCTAACGCGCCGTCTCTTAGAAGACAAGTATATTCCAAACGGTAGTCTCAGCAGTTCTTCTTTTCGAAGTCTGGCATGTATCTTGCCTGTGATGTAGCGCGCCAAATCCGACACTATAAAGATAACGGTCAGAATCTACTGTCAAAATATAGGTCTGTAATTGAATAAAAAACCAAATGTATTAAAGTTTATAGAAAAAAAAGGCATACCCAACATGGACATTTTTCGTCCATTTTATCAGAAACTCTACATCCGAGCCATACCCAAACAGTACAGCCATGTAAGCTGCCCCTCACTTCGAGGAAAATCATGTACGCTAGACTGTGTTTATTAAATGGCAGCGAAAGCCTGTATATCATAAAGCAAAACAATATTTCGCTTTCTTTTGACTTAAGAAAAAAATTTTGGATTCTTTTGAGATAGAACGCATGTCTGGAATATTCGTGTAATGAGAGCATTTCCTTCATTCATTACATGAGTAAATATCATAAAATATGTAATGAACTTCAGAAGAATAATTTTACTATTGTACGAAATTATCGGCGATGTAAACGTAATGGCTTCAGCTTGTGATATCATCTCACGAAGACCATCCGGCGCCACTATCGAGAAAGGCGTGTCAGAAGTTGAAGGCAAACCATCGCGAAGCTGATGACATCGTCCACATAACACCAAAGATTAGAGAGTGAAACGAATAATGATTTCGATAGAATGGCATTGACCGAATGCTTCTCGTGCAGTCTAGTTCAAGAAAAACGATTTTTTTCTAGAAAAGAAACAGTTCCTAATGTGCCTTTCACCTACTTCAATGCTTCCAAATGACCAGCAGTTCCCTCAACGTAGATGAGTCGTGGAGGCAACATGATGAGCGCCCTGGTTGCACAGTCCATCATGAGAAAATAATGGCTTTGATCATTATTTGACAAGAGCATCAGAAAGTTGGTAAAGAAGGAAAGGAACCTTTGTTTACTACGCTTCCTTTCACGAACGCTTCCTTCGGAAACAAGGATATGCGTTGACAGGTGTGGTAAGCGTCCTCTAACGTACCAACGAGAAAATAATGTAGAAGTATACCATCTTATTTAAATTAAAAAAGGAGGAATCCTGTTCCAACTCATCGCCGGCAATCGAAACCATAAACATTACAGAACGCGTCAAGATACTGAAAAAATGAACGAGTCAGTCGCCCCATTTTTCGAAGGACAACGTCTGGTGCTGGCTAGCTATTTGGTTCTGTTCTATGTCTAGAGCAAAATCGGAAGAACGTTGCTCAAAATGGTCAGAAATCGTCCTTAAGAGCCAAAAATCATCACAAAGACACAGACGGAATAATATGCTACTTGCTTCTTGGTGTAACTAACTTAAGCAAAGGCCAGTTCCATTATGTGACAGAGACAAATAGAGGCATTACATTTTACATCTGTTCGAACCTCTCACTGACCAAGTGTAGGCAGGTGACAAAATTTCGTTAGGGTCTAGTCAGTTACTGATAACGTCGGAAACTCGTATAACCGTTCACCAGGTTTTTCAGGACGGAAATGTTGCACATATTGGTTTGTTTCCTTTTATTCAAGAGGGTTAAATTATACTTCCAAATAACCTTCAATTACCACTGTAGAATAGCTTAAGCTTGCCTCCTGAATCCACTTCTTTCCTTGAAGGATATCATATCGTGCTGTTGTGAATGTTAGTGTGTCTAGTTCTAAACGAGAGAAGGGTAGACGCAACAATAGGCGGAGTCAGTTGCTGTGAAAAAGATGAACGTCTTGAAACATCGCAACATCGATACGAATTTTTTTCAATTCTTCTGCAAATTTTCTTGAGCACTCATCATTCCCCATAACATCGCAACACCTTCTGTTCGGCAGCGATCATTCGCGATCATTGATCTCCACATGCTTCACAAAGCCACCATCCGTAGCTGGCGTTTTTCTAGATAACAGCCAATTGTTGGTCAGAGAGCCCCAAATATTCATTCCTCAATCTTTAAGGCCTTTACCGATATCGATGCAAGATCAATCAATTTGGACCTGTAGGAGTGAAATAAAGCTAAGGCAAAACAAGCCAAATTGACATCGTTTTATAACTCTAACCGACAGGGAAACCAATAAGGCTTATAATTAATCCGAAAAAGAAAGGAAAAGCCAAGCGATGTGAATTTTCACATAGAGGTGGTCTCGGAGTAAAAAATGCTGCAAGTGGCTAAATTGGACTTTGCTTAGAAAAGGTGTGTTTTCAGAATATTTGCAATTATTCAATGTTAATAGTATGGAACTAAAAAATGACATTTAACAAACTGCATATAGGCGCTAGTTACGGTAATTCAGCTTGATCTTGGACAGTTTTTTCTTCCAGGCGGAGGTGATTCTGTCTGTGTGTCTGGGTCTTTTCCCTCTTTTCACATGCATTCGACGCAATCAAACAGCCGGCGTCGTTTTCATCGTTGGTGGTCTTTCGCAGCACCAGCAGTGTGCACTTTTTGTAGGCGTTTTTTTATTCTCTGCTCGTCTAATCCTCCTCATTCAACTAACTCTGCTCCCTTTCTATTGTCGGCGTCTCCGCATTGCCATGATCATTCGTGAAGCTCTACGTCTTCGCTAACGATGCGCTCTGCCGTTACGCTCTCTACTACATAAAATAGAACGAAAACTACGTGTAACGGGATGAAATGACGCACTTTCATGGCATAAAGCAGCAAAGCAGTTGCGTTTTTTTCTCACTCTGTAAGTGAGATTCATTTTTACTAGAGGAGCGTGCAGTTCCAATGTGATCTGCGAGAACTGACCAAAGCGCTCTATCCACCGTTTGGCACCTCCACCCTCACTTGCACTTTAACATCTGACATCGACAATAATTGCGTACCAGAAACAAAAAACATTAGAAAAAACTGAGAAGACCATATCATCACTTCCTGGTGAATGACAATGGCCTTACGACGTAATTCGTTGCAATGCGAAACTTCGTAAACGTTCGTGTATCAACCTCGTTGAGCAGAACTTTTATTCGTTTACGATTGTTCATGTGTTGGCCTGCAGTGCTTGTTTACTTTTATTTTGCAGTCTTCAGCTTCAATCATATTTTACGCATTAGGCGTTGAAGCCATTTATGAAACAAACTTTTTCTTGGAGAATTACTCTGAAGTGAGGTCATTTCATGTAAACTCACCATCTTCATTATCGTCAAACTCTTCTTTTAGTCAACAACAACAACAAAAAAGCAAGAAACGGTTATAGTTATCTGAACCTAAATGTGATTTTTGAACAGGGTTCAGCGGCAATCAGTTCGCTTTCTCCTGATAGTGTTTCGTAGGACGGCCATTATTGAACAGGGTATTGCCACAGCACGATCGTGGAATCGTGGAACCGGAGTGTTCCGTGGCGACGGCACGGCAATGTGGCCGCCATCCGTCGACGCTTCGTTTTTTTTCCGCCGCGCTCGTCGTGTGTGGTCGTAGAGAACAGAGGCGTGGCTTCAATGGGGGGCGAAAGCGCACTCTCCAGCAGCAGCATTCATGTTGCGAGCTGCTCACTATGCACGACCAAGAAGGTAGGTCAATCCTCGAGTAATCATCCGCATTAGTATAAAAAAGGAAAAAGTCAGTGATCTCTATTAAGACCTAATGTAGTACTGCCAGTTGAATCTCATCTATCCATTCATCTATTTACCTAGCCTGTCTTTCTATCTATCTATCTATCTATCTATCTATCTATCTATCTATCTATCTATCTATCTATCTATCTATCTATCTATCTACCTATCTATCTATCTATCTACCTATCTATCTATCTACCTACCTATCTATCTATCTTTCTATCTATCTCTCTATCTATCTCAGCAAGTTTTTGACCATTGATAAGATCTTTGAACAAAATATCTATAACAGATCATTCAAACGAACATATTTTCCGCGCTTTTATTCGAATATACTTTCATTTATACATTCACCTTGACTGAGGCCATTATTTCGAGGTTTTTGGTATGCACTAAATTTCAAACTACACAAGGCGTCTTTGATAAAAAAAACCACAAAAAAAATTAGAAGTGTTCCATCACATATTATACTTATTCTACAAAATTTCTATATCTTTGGTTAATTTAAAATTGATCAAGGGGGATACCATGTATTTTACCGCAGTGCGCAAAAATTGTAAATCTTTCACTTTTTTAGAAATCTTCCTTTGTAACTGTAAAATTCCTTTCAACGGTTTACCACCTCATCATGGCTGGGAGGTATTCCTGTCTGTCGAGTTGCGGTGTACAGTAGAGGATTCATCACCGCAGCAGAGTCTCCTAAGCTGGGAAGAAGTCCGATGTCTCCATTAGGGAGCCGAGCTAAGAAAAAAGCAATACCAAGGTCCAACACCGTCCTCGTATGAAACTAATCGCAAGGTGGCAAATCTCCTCTGACCCAGAAGGGCGACGACTGCCTGTAGTGGTGACGACATGAGGCAGACTTTGGCTAGACTGATCTCGGTGCTCCAGGAAACCACAATGGATAAACCAGCAAAACCCTGAAAAAATGGAAATGATGCTGGAGCCTGCACATCCAGTGAAGACTGGCCGTCCACGTATCCAAGTATTCAAAAATTAGCGTATGCTGTGCAGTGGTTAGAGTTACCCTGAAAAAACATACGTGGTCGTTGGTTCGAACAAGTTTCCCGCTTTAGCAAAGCTTTCCATCTCTGCGGATTTGACAAATTAGTGTTAGATTTCTCTCTGAAAGCGAAAAAAAACCAGCTTGATACGATACATCAGTAGGGCATCGAAAGTCATTGTATAAGATAAATTGCATTCGAGCACCTCTACAACGTTTTATGGAATCGAGGGATTGATCAACGACGAGAGTTTTGTTTAGTAACTTTTATTCAAAGGTAATAGTTTTCCGCCGGTCTTTCAGAGGATAGACGTTTGTCCTTCGTTTACACGTAATCTCACGGTATCATAGTAATTTCATAGTCCCATACTGGTCGGATATGCACTTATATAAATGCCAACTGTTTTTTGCATGCTGATTTTAGTGAGAGTTTGAGGTCAAGAGAGCGATAATTTGGTGTGGTTCGATATTGCATGTAGTAAATCAAGTTACCTTCGAGTTTACTCAAGTTCTGTGGCGAATGGCACATCGTGTGAAAGGAATGATTGCTTCGATTCGTTAAGCTATCCTCGAAATACCATCTACTGCACATACATCATCCTTCTCTCCACTTTCCAAATTAAAAGTTATAACCAAGCCTATAGATTTTCATTGATTGATTTATTGGAAAAGTCTCAGTGGAATGATTGCCGAATATTCCAAGAAACATCCAACTTCTAACTTTAAACGTTTGTGCATTCTCGTGTGCTTTAGAAAAAAATTGCCAACTGAAAGACTTCAATAACTTCTGGTCAAAAAAGAATGATGAGTCTACTTCAAGAAGGCGAAGGAGTTTACATTAAGAAATGGTCATCATTGTGCATAATTGCTTGGTTTAATTTAAAAAGGGATACGCACTTTCCAAGTTTCCCAGGAAATCCTCATTTTATACTCTTTTGGAAGAAATTTCGAGCTTTTTTGTTATGTTTTCGTTAAAGTCCACCTTTTCGTACACCATTATATGACTTTTTCTCGACTTGTTTCCCCAGATCAACAATCCACGAGTTCTTCGAAATTATGTGCGTAGGTTTGGCTGCTGCTTGAAGACCTTCGTCTTCTCTATGAGTTTCGTTGGTTGCTGGTTCAGTGGATTTCCCCAGAAATCCTGGGAAGACCATCCTAGGACGTTCCTATTTGTATTGTAGAGAGGTAGTGGTTTGACAGAAGTCTGGTATCAATTTACCGACTGAAGTGAAATGGGAGGATTGGTGGCCCCGAGCGAGACCGATGTAGCTTCTGAATACGTTGGGTCATTCATGTAATGAACGTGGCCCCTACCACTGCGTCACCACCCCTTTTTCGTTTTATATATTAAAATTAGCTTTCTCGTTTACAGTTAATGTACTTCACTTTTTACCCACTGGAAGTTTTCGTTAACGGGAAGCTCTTTAGAATCTGAAATTGACGTCGTCGCCCTTTCCCCAGCACCATCGCAAAGTTCATGCAATAGTACGCAAACCGAGAAGAAATACTTCTGTCAACGATGCCTCAATCACGACTTGCAGTTCCCAAGGAAAGGCCATAAGCCTATGTGCAAGTTCGTCCACCATACAATCCCTTTGAATTTGAGCCAAACACAAGTCCTAGTGATTCTTCCAGATATGCTAGTTGTACGTGCAGTGACTGTATCATGGTGGAACAACGGCGGCAGTTGAACAACATGCTTAGCAAATCAAAGGTAACAGTAAGAGGGTTTGAAAACGAAAAGTCGCACACTTTTTCTAAAGTTCTGACATCATATTTATAAGTCGAGATTAGTTTTATAAGAATCGTGTCACTTCTCATTCCATTAAAAATTATTGCAAGATATATTAACTGACACTAGGCTCTTAATACATTTGCTACCGACGGAAACTATACAGTCGGCCCCACCTATAAAGCCGAGGATGAAAATGTTGGCTTTTTGTAAGGCTGCTTAATAGTTTGCTTGGAATTTATGATTTGAAATATTTGCATTAAGGCTTTGAGCATGGCAAAGTTTGATGGAATAGGTTGTGCACTAATGGGACACATTCCAAGCTCCGAAGTAATGGAAACTCATAGAAACGTCAATGACGGTTTAGTAAGCATAATATGAACTATGTGAATGCTCATCAGAGACACAATAATATTATCATTAGTATCGAATTTAGTAGAGAGTTGCTCTTGAGAATCATGTTGATTTTTTCTCCAAAATTTTAGCGTTACATATAACCTCGAAGGGATACGCAAAAGAACCTTACCCAACCTACCAGAGATAAAACTTCCCAGGTAATACACAATTTCTGGAGTTTCGAAACAAAGTGGTCTTCTCCGATACACTTCTTCTGGGTAGACGTGATGGCACATCGAAGTCGGAAAACATAAACTTTCTCAAGAGTTGACAAAAAGGTGTTCCGAAAGTAAACAAGTATACGACTTCAGCGTTGACACAGATCATCATGCATGATCACGCACACCTTTGAGTATCGTTGTCAGTTATTTGTAGAATCAGTTTACCGTGACCATTCAAAAAAGTGCATATCGAGACGGTTCCTTACATATATTAGAATTTAGTACGCCCATACTATCGGCATCATCGTTGCAGCAGTTAGCGGAATCACCTCGGGAAACGGTGAACGGACGACGAATCCGCGATCCGCAGTGTGCCCGCTGTCGCCAGCACGGAATCCGCGTGCCGCTGCGCGGACACAAGCGCGTACTGTGCCAGTTCGCGAACTGTAAGTGCGAAATGGTTAGTTTACCATCGCCTATACAAATTTAAGTTTGTACTTCAAGTAAGCTGTGTCTTTGATTATGCGTAGCAGCCCTCGAAATCCAATTCGAAAGAATGCACAGTGGCTCTAAGCATGAAACCATCGATTTCAGTAGTTAAGATTCATGATGGATATATAGAAGTGAACTGAATCTGAATGTCTTTACTCTTCATTGTTGAAATACGTAGAAAACTGAAAAGCTACCAACTGGTAGATATTGTGAGCTTTAGTTTTTGATACCTTAGATTTTGTCAGCTTGTCTCTTAATTACAGACAGGACCTGCTTTGTAAATATTAATTAACATTGATACCGTTAATAATTTTTGTTCATTTTACACAAGTTATTATTAAGAGCAAGTTTTAGTAATTGAAGTAAATTAACCTCTTGTAAACAAACAAACCTTGGCCAGAAAAATCCTTTTCGTTTTCCAAATTTCAACTTTGGCAATGCTTCCTTGAATCCTTTTTATTCTACCTACAAATGAACACCGATCACTACGGTATTCGTTTCATCGCTAAAACATGATGTTGAGGTCGCCAAGTAGTAATCCAAACTGCGGTAAGACTTTGATTATCCTCACTGAAAAATTATTCTCCTCCTCCCACTTCCCAAAATACATTATAAACAATGGTTTCCTCCACTTTTTGGTAGAAAATGGTAAGTTAGTCAAAGTGTTGCTCAATGACAAATGACAATTGAGCGCGAGTAGCGCAGTGGTTAGAGGCAAGCTGCAGGACACTTGGGATAGATCCCTCGTCCTAGGCTCACCGAGCCTTTCACCACCCTGCGATCACGCATTTGGTACCAGAATTTTCTAAGAAGTAGACTACCGCAAGTTATTGTATACCCCAGATAGGCATTTAATCACCTCTTAGGATGACTAAGGAAATGGAATGCGTGAAGTTTCCCTTAGTGATTAATCAACAGCAGAAACTCTATGTTTCTTCTTGTAGTTTAGTGCTACCTATTCGTTAAATTAAAAAAACTATATGTGCTTAAAAGAGTTCATGTGTAGCACAGTAGTTAGAGGTGCCGATGTGCAATACTGACCTGGTTCTACATTGTTGTTAGCATATTTCTGGTCTTCGTCTTTAGCGTCGATGAACGAAATAACCTCTGTTTTCTCCTAGTATTGAGAATTTTTGTAGTAGTTGTCATCGGGAATTGTTCATTGGACTAAGGGTAAACAGACAATAGACATAAACAGAAGAAAAGAACGAAAGAGTAGATTTTGAACAATTTATGAGAAAAGTAGGAAAAGTAGTAATTGTATGCAGATTAGTTTTCTATACCAGTACATCGCATTCCTAAAGGTAGTTCTACCAGCGTGGTTTTCGTGTTCACAGGAAAAAGTTACAAACTTCTACAGTTCAAATAATGATTGCTTTATATGAGCCTTCACTATGATCACTCATTATCACTTAGACGATAGCTTGTTCATCACGAAAAACAGATCCATCTGGAAGTTCTTATCACAACGCCTGTAAGTTAATGGGTGGAGCCTGTTAGAATGATAACCGCTAGATTTAGACGTTTCGATCGGAGTTAAAACGTATGCATTTTTCAAATTGAGCATTATAAGTAAGGTTGACGTTTTAAATGCTTTCATATCACAACATTTTTTAAAGCGACCGTCATTTAACCTCGGTAGCAAAATGATCAGCATGTATTCAAACTAATATCAATGACTAATAAGTTGTTAATTATTAATATTGTCATTTATATCAGCCTTGTGTGAACCCAACAATTCCAATACTTTTCTGTAATCCAAATTCTTCCACTTTCCTGATGTGTTGCGTTTTGCCGATATTATTGGTTCCGTCATGATTTTTCATTCATTAAGTGCAGACCGCCTAATCGTTTCATAAATTCCATCCACTTTCACCTTCTTGGATTATTAAACTAACACGAAGTTTGTAAGCACGTTTATTCGGCTAACGTTTTGCCGTCTTCGTCCTTCTCAGAGCCGATGGTCCGAGTCCACAGTCATTCGTCTCCACGATGCGGCGTCTTCATCTTCGTATGGAGTGGAGCAATTAAGAAGATTGGACGTGAAGAACATCTTTATTAACCCCGTATTAGCTTAATAATCTAAGCAGGCATTGATCATTATTGCTGAGTTTAAATAACGGTCGTTTTGAAAAAATATTGATTTACTTCCTCTTAATTTCTGAAAAGTCGAAAAGCGGGGAGCGATGAGCGCAGAATCCTGCCCATTCACAGAATGGCGTCTACTTGTGTCGTCTGTAATCTCATCTACCATCGATTTAGTGGAACACAAAAGTCGAACCACACCTAACTGATGGGGTCCTTTCTCTCTATAACTACATTTCTGGTTATAAGCTTTTACTGCAACTAATTTTATCGAGACGATACCTACGAGGAAATCGCTGAACTACAGTGATGACCTTGTTGCTTAAACTAGCACCCCGCCCAATTTTTTAGAAGTATATTTGGGAGCGATTAGGTTATGACCGCTTGTAATCGCCTCTCATATATTTCTTTGATGGTTTTTGAATGAGTCACTTATTTAGTTAAATACTTAGATCGCTTATCTTTGCAGATAATACGGCAACCAGCACACGTCTTAGTCTTTTCTTTCTCACACAACCGTCATTCATGATGTTGCTCTACTTCGAACATGGTGATGCTAACGCCTAGGATATAATCCTCAAACACATCCACGTACGCACTTAGGAATATGTCTAGGTGGAGAGCATGTAAGAAAGCGTATGTTAATCCACTCTGCCAGTGATACGAAGTCTATCCAATGTAAACATTGAGAATCAGGGTAAGTATAAGGTTGTCCTCGATTCGTGTTGAACTCCTTCTGGACGCATGAACGCACTCTATGTAGCTCAAAAAAATGTAGCAAATTGCCTAACATGAGAAAAGTCTGCTAGATTCGACCTCACCCTACTAAAATTGTTGTTCATTTACAAAGTGGCAGTGAGCTCGAATTTGCTTGCCTACTGCACGTTTTCTTTCGCGCTTCGCGTTTTTTTCCAAACTTTCATATAGTTTCATTCTCCTCCAATCTTGTAAAGTGAGATGAGAGCAGATCCCTCGAACCATATATTCAAAAATTTTACTGGAACACACATCGGCTGCCTGGATTGCACAGGTCAAGTCTTCGGAACCTCTTCCATATTGGAGATCCAGAAGAAAATGCATCAATGGCGAAACATAAACGAGCAGCTCGCATGATAAGAAAAACATGACAGATGTACGAAAAGAACTCAGGAATGGATTCAAAGAGGTGCAACCGTTCTTTCTGACGAACACCTACACGATGGGCGAAGGTGTTTGCGATCTGCCTCACTCATCGTCAACCATATAAGATGAAAACGACCTCTAGTCACGGAATAGGCCTCGCTGAAGTCGCCATGTTCGAAACAGACAACCACTATAGACTCTGATACGCGAGAAAGAAACAAATGGAAAGTGTAGTGGGACCTCCACTGATCGCGAAGAACAACCATTCAAGCAGTAGGTGGTATTTAAAATCAATTACAAGTTACACCTTAAGTAAGATTTCATAGAAGGATAAACGATAAAGCTCTCGGCGTTGATCAATCTCTGAGGGAGGCGCCATGCATTCGACTTCATTAAGCGTCGTTGGAGGCGAATGAATGCATATCTGGTCCTTACAATGACTCGTGGTGGCCTATCGATGTATCGAGCCAGTGCTGCTTTCCTCCCAGACAAGTCTGGTACTAACTTGCCAAGTCCGGATGGATGGAAGGCTTGGTGAACCTAGGACGCAGGGATCGATCCTATGTGTATTGCAGGGTGCCTCCGACTATTGCACCACACGCGCCCTATAAATAAGATCTCGTGTGCCCTAAGAAGAGGTCCTTTCCTATTAATATCGTATTAGAAGCGTTCCATCTTTAAAACTTTAAATTTGTATGCATTGCAATTGATAGGGCAGTATTAATAATTTTTTCTCATACTTGTCGACAATGTATCCGGAGTCTTGAAATGCAGCAGTGACAGTTTTCACGAATAGTTCTATGAAAATCTCATCAATTCGGTAGCATACTATCTCCTAGTGAGGTTACGGTGGACAAGGCCGCAGATTTTCGTTTTAGTTTTTTTCCACTATTTCTTGCATGCGATTTTTTCTTCTCGCATTCATCGTCGACGAAGGCCTTTGAAGATTTTGCGTATTGTTTTGGCTCTTGCTTGAGATTTCGTTTTCTTTATTAATGTTTTAAAATGCTAGCCGAGTCGAGTCTCCTTGCTTTCTTGGAGGCATCCGGACTAGTGCTTTCCCAGAATCAGAATCTTGCTTCTTCACGAACTGCTCCGCTATCTACTACGCTGCCACCCACGTAATCCTTCGACTTGATCTTTCGTATTATATCGTAATTTCAGTGCCAATACTGTTAGCAAATAGTTTTTCCACGTTTATGAGTAGAAGAACGTCTATCTAATTATATACCTACAGGTTTGATGCAACCGTTGCATCATAAAGAAAGAAACATTACGCATTGGTTTTACACACACTATTTTTTATTACTGCCACAAGTTAATTCCTTAATCAAATGTCACCTCCGGTATAATCTTTTGGCTTTTTCCTTCCACCCAATTTTGAGACTTAAATAATTTCACAAGTGTTCATGTTTTCCAGTAGATCTTAGACAAAGTAGAAAAACTGGCTGAGCGAAAGGCAAACGAATAGCATCGACTAGTGTGGTGGATGGACACGAGAGGACCCCGTAAGAGTAATCACTGGTTGGAAGCCCACTTGAGGCTCTGAGTTGTGCTCATATCTCAGCACCCACGTGGTTGTATTTTACATCGTACCCTGTTATGAAAAAAAGCAATAGGTAATAAGCTAAAGTTAAGGCATTATAAACCCTTGCGAAATAGTGATAGTAAAAACGCTCTTAACATGAGATTTTCAGTAAATGCATAACTCTGATATCAGGAATTAATGTAAAGACAGTATTAAATATGTGTTTTCTAGTATCTGGTTCATAAATGTTCATAAATACTTTATTGTTACATCTTCACAGTGCGAACTCGTTGAAGACCGTCGATCATTAATGGCGAAGCAGATTAAACTTCGTCGTGATCAGCAAAGACAGCGTAACAGCATGGACGACCGGCACAGCTCCGACAGTATCGGTGAGAACGACATTGTCGGTAAGTACACCTCTACATTGCTTAAGATAAATTAGGCATTCGGCATTGACCTATACTTGGGGGCGCACCATGCATTCCATTCCGTTAATTAACATTGAGGTGACTAATTAATGCAACAAATCAGTATTTCAAAAACCATTTTCTTTTGACCTTGGCGTGACTAATCAACGTTCTTCTTCATGGATAAGCCGACACGAGGTTGATAAAAAAAAGCTTTATCTGACAAACGTTTCGGCGCCTTCACCTTCAGATTTTCGGATTCGGTCGCTTTTTTATCAACTTCGTGCTAATAGTTTATATCTAAGCACGGCACTACACGCGTCGACTGCAGGTGCACTTCAGTTGATTAGCATGGAGCTACTATTTGAAACTACCCTGGATGAACATCCTATAAGATCAGTAGTTTCCTATGTCATAGTCGATTTTATGAAACTCCAAAGAAATTGCGAAAACATGAGGTTTGTAAATGTCCCACAATATATTTACTCCTTTCGAAGCGCATTTTTACTGGTCTGGTTCGAAAACTACCAATCTGCTATTAGAGAAATCGTAAACTCAGCATTTACCAAAGACCTGCGCCTCAAAGTCATTGTATGCATAAAACCTAAAGTGGTGAAAAGAACAGCTGCAGTTATGCTGCTAAGTGGTATTGGTTAACACCAGCAATTTCGACCTTGACCTTTACTTATTATAGATCTCAGCAAGAGTAAATTTTTATGCATTTGAAAGAAATCATAGAAAGACGATTGAGGAAAGTAATGCAGTTTTTTTTATTTTACACGACTCGACATCACTTGTTCTGCGGGTTCCAATACTTTCCGTACTCGACTCGTTTCCTCGTAACACTTTCATCCACGATGGTTTTTGGATTTTCAGCTGGGTTCGATTACTTCCTAATGAATCTGTTACCTTATTAAATTTCATCGAATCATGTTCAATCTGATTCTCGCTTGAATCCTGGGATAGCCGTGCGAAGACACTTCGAGTTTTCACCACAGGTAACCTTTGTGCACATAAGCCTTTGTGCACTGGAGGGAACAAAATAATCTCTAACGAGTCTGGTGCAGATTCTCTCTCGGTTTCGGACCAACTGCATCATTATCCACTGCGCTACCCTGTTCTGCTGTTCGCATTACCACGATGAACTCGCTTTAATCATTCACGCCATAAATGAAAATAATCTATGGAGGAAATAATCCGCCAATAGTCGAAGTCGATGACATTGATTCACATTCCTGGTTACGAACCTCATGCTGGCTAAAGAATAAAGTATGAAAGACAAAGTTCTCGATGTTAACCAATCTTTCATGGATGAGCTATGCATTCTACTCAATTCATGACATCGTAGAGGTGATTTAGTGAATATTTGACCTATAAAATAACTTACGGTGCCTTGCCGATGCCGATGCCGATGCCGATATCAAGCCAATGTTTTTGTCCTCCCAGGCAAGTCAAATACGCATTCGAACCCCAAACATACTGAGGGCTTAGTTTGCCAAGTAGAAAATTTCGTTTTTTTCATTAATGCTGCGATATTCTGTTATATAAAAGGCAAACTGAAGTAGAGAAGTAAGATGAGTAAAAGCAGTGAAGTGCAAAAGCATGCATTTTCTGCTGCATTGTAAACGGTTACGAAGAACAGATCAAAAATCTTCTAATACACTGATGAGTAGTGAATGTGAAAATAAAGCTCTAACAGATCATAGCCTAGGCTACTGCAAACAATAACTTTCTGTTTTCATAGTATAAGCGCTTTATTAGAAGAATATTTAAATTGTTAAGTGGAAGTCCCATATGATATGCCGCATCCTTTCCTTCCATCTACATCAATGCTAGGGAAAAAATGGACATAACATTGAAACAATATTCATTTTGCACGTAATATTCCTTAGACACTAGATTTTCAGTTGGAGTTAAAATGTGCTTACAGTATACTCGTTTACGTGGAGCACCCGTACTCAGAGAACAAATGTAGGACTTTTCATTAAAAGATAACGAACACCACAAAACAATGACCGCAAACTGATCAATTGTTTTTTATTTCATCTAATTCACATATATCATCAATATTTGCATAAATGTATTAGATTCGCTAGACACAAGATGGTAAGAAGAAGAACTCCGTATAGTAGTACTGAGACGCGTGGAATCGTGAAATCAAGCAAGAGTCACGTAAATTTAAAATAGTATCGAGTGAAGCATGAACTGCGAAACAAGAACTTTCATGAGGTTCTTAGCTAAAAGAGGCGGCTTAAATGTGCTTTTTTTTTGCTCTACGTCACACTGTGTTATCAACTATTTAGTCGTAAATTTCTTGTAAAATATCTTAGACGAACACTTGAATTGAGCACAAGCTGCCCAACAAACTTGTATGGCAAACTTCTTAAGTATGGCAGTGTAAAACAAGAATTTCAGAAGCCTCATCGGTTGAGATATCACCGTCACCGCTCGTCGTGCTGCCACATCCTGTCGCCGTGTACCCATGCACGGCTACGGCGGCTTTCACTCCACCTTTAGTGACAACGGGATTACCAGTAATACTCCCAGCACTACCGTCCGTCATGTCTCCCAGCATGCCCAGTTCTTTCCTACTACCATTACCGTTCTTCAACATATTTCATCAATTGACCGCTCAGCAACAACACTAGTCATGTATTTTCATTACACAATCATCTCCTGTATATCCACCATCACATAATCAAGATCAGGTTAGTGAGTCATCACGAGTCTCTAAGTATTCTCGGTACACATGTGGTCTGTTCACTACGTACAGGTCACAACAACTGAGATTTTGAGCTTATTAATTTAGGGTTATAAAATTTTCACTGGTTTCAAAGTAACGTTGTTGCGGCTTTACTACGACTCCACCACCACGTTTTCACAGTATCCACTGCATTACAACCATCACTTCCCTTTTGGTTTCATATGTCTCAAGTGACAATTATTGAAAGTCTTACCTTAGAACCTGTACGGAGCCCTCAAAACTTGCCTATTCCGTAGTTCATCTCAAAGCCTACCCACTTTTTAGTTCGAGCGTACATCTAACACGTTTCATAATTCGTAGCGAAGAGACCATTCTACCTCGTCAACTTATTTTGCATAGCACAACCCCACAATAACTTCAATGAAATTGATAGCGCGGTTCTATGCAAAATTTGTTCTAATTCCCGCATTTGCTTTATGTTGGTTGAAATCACGCATGACGTTCCTCCGAAACATCCATAGATTGGTGTTCTGAGGTTTTACGATGACATGCTTCTTTTGGTCTAATAAATAACGAATGGGAGTGTCCTTAGCGTGAGATATATTTCGACATAATTTTTACGACTCATAAGAATTAATCTCTTACCTTCTCAGCTTCATAAAACCTCTGGAACCCAGTCGAAATATGTCTTCATTGATTGCTTGCATCTCTCGGGTGGGATGCAATCCCAGCCATTACGGCATACTGACGATTACGATCGTCACTAAATTTTTGATGTTTAAAGACTATTCCTTATTTCATGTATTCTCCTCACTCGCTTAATTCGTCAACAACTGATTATAGATGGCTTATGTATTTACATCTCATCCAAATGTCCCGTATGTTTGCTTCTGATCATACTGGTATGTTAATGTAACCATCACAGAGACAACATTAAAGCTTATGGCAAACGTTATTCACAATGAAGTTGAATCACTTTAAAGCTGGTAGTGTATTCTTTATTCAACGCATGTATTAATCAATCTTATGTTGACCTAATATTCACATTAAAAACATTAAAAACAATCATTGTATATATGTATATATATATATATGCATATATATATATATATATGTATATATATATTCTAGATTTTAAACGACACGTGCTAAAAACAACAAAAAATCTTAGGAAACAATTTCAATGCCGTCTCGAAATTTTATAACCGTTCGCTTGAACGAGATGCCAAATTACGCAGATTCCCGTAGACCTTTGATGGCGGCGCCCCTGAAAGATAGCGACCGACACATTTCGCATTTGAACACCACAGATCTCGATATTTAACGCAGTACAGAATATCATGAAAGATGTACCAAGGATAAGACTACACACTGCATTCCGAGCGAGTTTCAAGTTCTGGTACGCTCCCAGCAAATGGATTTTTGTATCGGCAAGTACTGAAGTTGAGACATGGAATACAATAGGTTACATCAACACACAAAAAAAAGTGAAGGAGACAACCTATTCTGGTCTTCGTTACATTTTCTATAACTAGTTTTGTCCTACCATCTTTGCCCGCTATTCTACCAACAGCTCGACTAAGATTATCACCCTTCAGAGAAGACTTCACGTCAGCTATCTATAACCAATAAAAATTTAACAAACCAATAAAGGCCTTTGGTTTTCTCCACCTATACCTCAAAGGTTTCAAGGAACAAATGATCGAGCCGTATGAGCGATAGAGCGTCGGCGATGTCAAAACCAAGCACAAATGCACGAACAAAGTCAGCCGCCGAAAAAGGATTTCATTAAGAAACACCTTATTAAATGAGCAAAATTCTAAAGCGTTAAAAGAGTAGTACATGTTGTAGATCGCAAAACAAAAGAATGAATCAATCAACAAACATCACATTCCAATGAGATTTGCTCTCCAGTTCTACGTTAACCAGTAAATTAAAACCGTTACAACACTATTAAATGTGAACATTGGAGAACATGACCTTACTTTTTGTAGATCTGTAGTTTCCTCTCTGTCTTTTAGATTTCGAATTTCCACATTCCTCGTTTTTATATTGAACCTAGTGAAGATAATTTTAGGATACAGTTCTTCTAAAATCTTACAGAACTGTGCCCACCTAACTTGTAATCCCAAGTTCTTCACTATTGGCGTGAAAATGTTGACCCAGTTCTCTTTCAACGGTGTATAACGGTGTTTCGGTACAGAGATCTTGAATGTGAATTCTTTTTTACGTAATTGTAAAGTCGCTCAAATGTAGTAATAAAACAGATCGCATCTAATCACTGGAAGATGTCACAGAGTTTCGAAACCGCACCTTACGTATTTCGCCCTTCTCCCCTTTAGACCTCTTGGTTCGGTGACAAATTGTATCTGCGCAACGTTGGGCATGCTGCACTGATGTAGTACCCAAACATACTTCCGTCTCGACATGCTCTACAGCAGACTTTCTTTTTCGCCTTGACACCTTAAACAATGCTCCCTTTAGCTCATTATATACATAAGAACTTCCAAAAACCAAATTTCCGTTACCCTCCGCAACAATCAACAAATCCTTGTGTTCTCAATGACTGTTTCGGCGACATAACCTTTTTTATAACTTTAGGGTGAACAAATTATCAAATAGTCTTTTCAGAGAACAGTTTTACAACGTCAAAGAAAATTCATGCAAAAAAAAACGTCAAAGAGAAAAAAAGGAAAACATAAGACGAAAACACAGCTGCAGTCAGAGCTCTTGAAGGTATTTCTCTGTTCCCCATATTTTAGAATTAGACCCACATATAAACTTGTCACACATAGGATGCTAATTATAGCATACCCTATCAAGAAATAAACCGAAGATGTAGTGCCAACATGCGTCCAAACCTCGGACTTCTGCTTGACATTAGATTCTTCACTTTTCGAATTTATACAAATCACAGGTGCTTAAGCGCAAATAATTTGAATCAATAAGAACACAAAAGGCGAAGTTAATTTATGTACTGTGAACTACTTGCAAAATTTTCTAGTGCGTCTCTCAGTTCCCTTTAAACGAGTTGTCATTAACAAAAGTTAAATACATAGAATGGCTAGATTTACCAGTTTATCAGGTATCTTATCTCTTTATATGATCGCATGAAGGCGATAACATTGACCAAGTATTTTAATACAACACGGATCGAATCTCTAGCAAAAACAAGAACTCATGATTGAGATCAACTCTTGTATGAAAGTGGGAAGCTCAGCTAACTTTTCACTGCTGAGAGGATATTATTTCATAGCTGCGCCTCTACTATAGAACGATATTTCATCGACAGCTGGGGCAATCTGAGAAAACGAAAAAAAACAGCGCGGCCATTCGTTCACTGTCGGCATCAGTACGAATCGTGTGCCCATAAATCGAACCAAAACTGCTGTGTGTTCGAACATTTTTTAGACCGGACTTGGCTGTTCTCTAACAATACGGGGAATAACGAGGTCATACCACCCACGAAGCCACAGCGAAGACTTTGGCAATGCCACTTTGATTTTCGTTCAAAAATTCGCAACAATATTTACTTATCTGCCCCTATTGGAATAACATATAACTTATTCCTAGGCAATAATTACTCAGAAGTAATCACTCTCAGTAAAAATTGATTGAGGAAAACTGTTCGAAAAAAGATAAATGATTCTTAAATAACCATTCGCGAACCAATTCTTACCGTTTTCTGGTTAAAACATAAATGTAACGCCGTCGTAATAACTGTGATACGAATGACTTCTGTTAATAAACCTTTATAATTTTTTAAGACACTTTTTTAAGACAACGGACACTGATTGGGCTACGGAACGAACACTAAGTAATGAAAGGTGGTCGTAACTCAGTTCACTCAACTTTTCGTTGAGCCTTGCATCTAACACATTCGACAACAACTAATTCTGGAGGGACTGGAGTATGGAAAGACGTCTAATTTCTATCCTTCACGGATCTGTTGGTTTTCCGAAAATACACGATAAATTGAGGACCTAGGGTTTGAGGACATGGTAGAATTCTGAAGGAGACTTCGCTGTGCCGCTCTAGTTATATGTGTTATATATGTCATATATGTATATATATATATATATATATAATTATTTACCACAAGTTACTGTAATCCACATACAAACACATTGTTGTCATCAGCTGGAAACATTTTGCAGCATCTTGTTGAGGATTTTTCTGTATCTTTTAAACCTGCCCGTTCTATGCGATATGCGATAAATTAAATAACAATTTAGTAAAACTACCTGTCAACGAACTCGTTCAAAAAGACGGTTTTCTTTGCACATTTCCAAGCACAGAATAAAACTTTTCGGGAACAGCCATACCAGCGCCCACCATAACATCTGTGTTTAATAAACTATTAATGTATTACAGGAAGTGTAGAAGAAGTGTTCTCTATGCCAAAAGCAAGGGAAAGATTATGACCTCCATAGCCCACAACATTCTCTAACGAATGGCTCGCACAGAGGTCATTTCACTGAGAATGTCTTAAACGAAAATTACTGCGTTGTAATATCATAGCCGATTGCACAATATAGATACCGGGATAGACGTCAAACTAATAAAATTATTACGCTCGGTGTCAAGAGCGCTCTCAGACATGGTAGAAGTGAAAGCTTGGGTGGGTTAGAATACGCAGAAGGTCGTGTGTATTATGCATACGGCAACGCACTTGTTCATAAGTGATCAAAGCATCGAATTCTTTCATACTATTCCTATCCTATTTAAACACATACATGTATACTTGGAAATCGTACGTCGCTTGGGCGGCCTTCCAACAAAACACTCGCATTCTCTTGCAGTCCACTGCAGTGGTTTTCTCATCCATCAATAATATGTTTTCTTATGTCTAGCGGCCCACTGAGGTCTCCCATATGAGGGATCTCGAGCCGGTTAGTCGCGAGACTACATGCGGCGTTCTCAGGTGGCGGATAGGGAGTTAGTCACGGACCAAAAGCGACCAAATGTTTCCATAGGACAAAGGTGGATCCACAAGATGGACTCCCTCTTTCTGCTGCACCGATTTGGCACATACTTTCAGTATTTGAGAGGCGTATTCATGCATGCGGCGTGTGGGTGCGTTCTCGCTTATGCGGATTGTATTCTACGAATCAATTCGGCCAAAAGCCTGCAATCAAGTGACAGGGAAGTGCATGGGAGGCGGCTAAGAGTCGCCTGCAACAAACAAGCTCCATTTCCACTCTGGTAGAGTCTGGCAAACAACCCGTGAGTATACCCAGCCCCACGTTCAGAGCCCAGCAAGCTATATCTGGGTATCAAAGTGCTAAACGCGGTAAAAGAAATGGACCTCATTCCCCTGACCGCGAAAGAGCCCCCAATTTCGCAGCGTTGGGTAGGACGAGTACAGAGAGGCTGCTAAAATCTCAGCGCCAATGGAAGTTGCCTGAATTACAAAGAACTAAGGTGACGATCTGAACCTACAATGCACGTACACTCGTATCCGAGTCCTCGATAGAAGTCTTGATCATGCAAACGAGAAAGATAAGGTACAACTTCATCGACCTGGGGGAGGCGAGACTGCGCCACCCATTCAACGACGTCGATGATACAGGACAAAAACTGTTCCTCAAAAAAAGGGCCAATAGAGGAGTCGGCAGCGTCGGTTTTCTCGCCAACGCGAGTTTGTCCATGAACATCGATTCATTCGAACAACTTACAACCCGAACCGGACGTTTACGATTAAAAAGATGTGAATCAATACCGGCTTTGACAATCCTCGTCGTTTACGCTACGACATCAAACTATGACGAAGAAAAAATCGAAGCGTTCTATATGGACTAGGAGCAGTTCTACAGAGACCACACATTCTTCAAGGTCATCATTGGAGATTTCAATGCCAAGATTGGACTATGGAGAACCTATGAAGAACGTCACATTGGGACCCACGGATTATGGAATGAACAGAGTGAGCGGCTCTCTGAGTTTACCACGACGACTAGGACCATCTATAGTAACTCGGAATTCCAAAAGCCCCACCCTCAACTCTGGGCGTGGGAGTCTCCTAATGGAGAGTGCCATAACGAAATAGACCACATTATAGTAAATAAAGGTTTTACCTAACCAATGTCGCTGTTGTCCCAAAATTCTATATGGGATCAGACCACCGTCTCTTTCGTTCAAGATTCTATTTCCTGCGGAAAGGAGAAAAAGCCGCTAAATTCAAAAACTGAAGCCCCAGAACAACCATAAACTCGGACTTAATCATTTCATTAGTCGGTTGTTGGGAAGATACCGCTGTCGGTAACATCGACGCAGAATACAATCGGCTCATTCAACATCTTCTCGTTAGCGCTATGAAAGCTCAAAGTTGGAAAGTCAAAAAGAGACGTATGTCTCCAGAAAGACGAGTTGATACGCCAGCATGGAATCGCACGAACTGCAGGCAACCGCGAACTAAGGCCCGAACTTGCAAAAGAATGCAGACAGGCGATAAAAGAGGATCTTAAAGAGAGAAGAGTAGCAGTAATAGTCGAAGCTGCAGAGACTAGGAAAAGCATTCGCAAAGTCCACCGATGCTTCGCCAATTACGAGACCAAGATGATTGCACTCCGACGCACAGACGTAACAGTTACAGCGTCTAGAAATGCAATGGATAAAATCATTCACGAATACTACTCGGATCCTTTCGATAGCCACGTCCACCATCCATCATATGAAATAGAGGAGGATAGAAATGTTGCACCACCGGTTCTCCCTTCTGAAATCCGACGTGCCATTTCGTTGGCGAAAAATCGAACAGCACCGGATCCGGACAGGATAAGATCTGAACAACTGAAGAACCTTTCGCCAGTCCTCGTAAACACACTGGCTCAGTTCTTTACACGTTTTCTGTCTGAATGGAAGGTCTCCACTCAGTAGAAGACCAGTAACACCATGTTATTGTCCAAGAAGAGTGGTCTACACGATATCGGCAACAATCGCCCAATCTGCTTGCTGTCTGTCGTCTACAAATTTTTCACTCAAGACATTCTAAATAGGATTGACAGGACATTGGACAAAGGACACATATGTGAGCAAGCAGGGTTTCGAGATGGATTTAGTACGATAGACCATATCCACACGATAAAAAATCTCATTTAAGTATCGCGAGTACAAAAGACTGCTCTGTCTCACGCTCATCGATTTACAGAACGCCTTTGATTCAATTGAGATAGAAGCAGTCATGGAAGCCTTTGACAGTCAAGGAATCCCTACCCAGTACAAAAAGAATCTTCGTGAGCGGTACAAAGATTTCACAACCATGATCTCACCATTCTACAACGATGTTAACATTGACGTCAGAAGAGGGGTTAGGCGATGCGATATCATCTCGTCAAAATTATTTACCGCCACCCTCCAGAACGTCATGCGAACATTGGAATGAGACAATATAGGATTGAAAATCGATGGTCGGCAGTCACACCATCTTCGCCTTCCTGATGACATCGTCCTTATAATACTAAACATTCACCAAGAGGAACGTAAGCTTGCCGACTTTGATAGAACGTGTGGAAAGA